TGAAGAATGTGTAGACATACCCTCAGTAGTGACTCAACTACTGAGGAATTAGTACCAAATGTACTACTAAGTGCGCTCTAAGCGCTTATGTAAGCAAGTGAAAAACCCGCACCAAATATACATCACACAGAGGTGATTCAATCTCCAACAGGCATCATGGGATTTGTGTGAGACAGCACCCCCCATGACTTACAGTGTGATACATAGTACAATATTTACATATGCCCTTGTACACAAATCTCACTACATGTGATTTGCTCACAACCATAATAGCCAATGTCATGCAAATCAGACATGGTGTGATTTGTGTGAATCATGTGATCCAATCTCATGCAAATCAGACATGGCATGATTTGTGTGAATCATGTGATCCAATCTCACACAAATCACAAAATATGATAAATGCACAGAAACATGGGTTCAACAGCTACTCACACCCCCCCTGGACCCTAACTAGGTTGATAAAAATCACTTGTAATTTCTTTCAGCAGGGCACATGGAAGATGACTTCAAACAGATCCAGGACATGAAGTGGGAACTCCCTCAGGTGTCCAGGGCCCACCATATATGGTGAAGATCTGAAAACAGATACATACTTATGTAAAGTATCTCACGGGTTTGGATTGCCGCTGCGAAGTGGCACAGCGGTTCCTTGAATGATGCCGGAGTCCACGTTGACTTTGTTGTATTGGGTACGCGGTACACCTCTCCTCCAAATTGCCTCTATCGAAGCGTCACCGGAGACGAATGTCGACACTCTCAAATCGCGCATCTTCCAATCAAGAGCTCACTTGCAGGGTTATGACCCCACCGAGGCAAACCTTTACAAGATCCCAGACACGCATCTTTTGCCTGCTGACGGGGAATATGAACATGATCTCGGTGTGCTTTCTATCTCTGATTTAGGTCAACCCCTGCGTAATCGACAAAGGTTAAAAAATATATTCGCGCCACAACCCAAGGAGGAACATCTTCACCTTGTGCTCGGTACGTGTTCATTACAATGATGGTAATGATTGTAACTCGTTGTTACCGATGTGTAGATGCTACAATTATGACCATCGACGTCTACATTCGCGGTGCAGGTCCCCTCCGCTCGCTCTCTATCTCAATGTCGAGACTGGAAAAGGTGAATGTGTTGAAGGATAGAGTCAAGGAGACCTGTACAGACTTTGCGGATATATCCACCGATCGCTTGGGAGTATTCAAGCTTTCGTTCTGTGATCACAATGAACTAGAAGAGGTTCTCGATAGATACGGAGATGGCACTTTTCTCCTCGGAGAGCAGAAATTGGAGACTTTCTTTCAGTGACCTCCCATTTTCTCAGGATGCGGCACGTGTTGTTGTTGAAGTATTGCCTCAGCGTAAATATCACCGTGTTTGCCGCGAATTTAACAACTGATTACAGAATTGCAGAGGTGCAAAAGTCCCACCATCATCCAGACCTTTTACCGCGGACGGAGACATGGTTCGGGAGGCGCGCGAAACATACCTTAGGGCAAGCTCGACGGAGAAGCCTTCCACCACCGCTATCCCATCGTCATTTTTTGATCGACAAAAAAATGATTGCAAAGCATACCTTGCGGTCGCCCTCGCAAATACGAGGACCGCGTTCCTACGGTTTGTTACATCCCGTCTTTGGTCAGTTTATCGAGGACACCAAGGAGATCGAGTCTCTGCAGAAGACAACAAGTTGGTTGTAGAACTTGCAGATGCTATGTCAGATTTATACAAGAACGAATCCGAGCGGATCGATAACGTTGGAAAAGTCTTGACGACCTTTGATAGTCATTTTCCATCACCATAATCAAACGCACTGGATATGAAATCGATGGGGACATGGCTGTCAAGATTATCGTTATGTTATCGCAGAGTTTAAAAACGAAGCTGGGAATACCTCGGGAGAGCCATACTTTCAGTCTATAGGATACTACCTGGAGTCGACGAGAAGGAAGCGGTCACAGTGCCAAGTTCTCCCTTGCCATGTTTCCTCCTCTCCTTTTTCGGTCTGTTTTCGTGCGTCGACCATTCGTCGTCGTATTGACCCTCTTTTTGCAGGGGCCCTACGTCATCTTTGCCGGTGCCGCATGGGAATCTGCGTCCAACGATACAACTGCTGTCGATGCCCATTGCATTTAATATCCATTCAACGGAACACTGATAATCTACTTGTCTTAGCACGTCACATGGCTGCGTTCCGCAAAGCTACTCAAACGCTGAAGCGATATTATGAAGACTTGCGGCCCACACAGCCATTACAAAACATGCCGTCCCCCCAGCTGTTTCCGTATCCTACAATGTATACTTTTATCGCGGATGGTACCATCGGCGATTCTCATATCAGCAGCAACTGAAGAACAAGCTCGTATTCTTCGGTACCGAGTCTGCTGAGGGATCAGCGGTCGTGGATCGAATCTGCATCAAGTTCGCCCGGTGGTATTCACCTGACGCTCACAAACATTGCCATCTGTAGGATGCGCTCCCGCGTTACGAGGTTTCGAGAAGATGCCCGGTGGCTGGTTCAATGATAGTGATGGACGATCTCAGCAACGACTCGAAACCTTAGAAAACCAGCGGGTCCCCGTTCCCACCAAGAGTCTTATTCGCGCGAAACTTGCGAAATTTCACAAAGAAGGTTTGTCCACGGCGATATCCGAGATACAAACATCATGGTCTCCAAATCAGACAACACGCAATTCAGAATCATTGACTTGACTGGGGCGGGCATAGCTGGAGAGGTGAAATACCCGGCATTTTTGAATCCGGAAGTGCGGAGGCCAGAGGGTGCCTCTGACGGGAAACCTATTCTTGCGGAACACGATGACGCTATGCTAATGAATGCGCTAGTCTTTTCCCATGGTGTCAGGAGCGATGAGTCGGACATCTGGGGTTGTAATTCACGGAGCTGATAAACTTGATACGAGTAAAGCACATGTACTCATTCAGAAGCTCGTTGATAGTGTTACTGTTGAAGGTGACTCAGTTCAAGGTGGATCGAAGTGTAGTACCTCGCGAACGACAGTCCGACACCACTTCGACTGTCCAAACTGAGAGTCTCTTGCTGTTAATGTAAGTTTGGGCATGCCTTTTCATGGGGCCAAGACTCAACCTAGCCAGCGGTATGGTCACCGTCGTCTCGCGTCCCAAGACTCGTCAATCCTTGTCTCACAGGCCCGCTAGCGTTGGTCCGTGCCTCGAGCTCGACGTTACTCGAAGCTGACATTTTTTGGTGCCTACCCACCCTCACAGCTCAGCTCGGTCACTCGGGTCAGGCTTCGGACCCGCACCATCTCGTACGCTCCTTCTGCTAAGAAGTCGACGTGTAGATTATGCCCATGCAGGAGAATCGAGGCATCGGAGTCGGAGTAAGTCTTTTGTCGAGCGGACCCTCATCGATGTTCTAACGGGACGAAAGTACAGTAGAGTGAGGTCAGAACATCAACGTAGGAGGACGGAGGACAATCGAGGCACAGCGAGGGCGGAACCCAGAATGTGAATAACCTGACACAGAGAACACTCCAGGTGCGCATCTCAGTCGCCTGTCCCTGACAATGATGTGAGCCCAGTCTCCCGAAGGAACCGGGTGTTCTGGGCACCTCTCCGATACACTAATCCACTCCCTTGGGGCGCTCTAATCCCGCCGTCCTCACATTCGACAAGGCTCGAGTGGATGCCTTGGTTCATTGTATTTTCGGTGGCTTTACTTGCTTTTCAATCTCTTTCCGGGAAGTGTGCACGGTACATGTGTCGACTCGGCGACGTCGAGGGGCCACTTTCAACTGGGTATTATCACGGTCTCGTCCGACTTGGATCGTGTAAAGCGCATGACGAGTTCAGTGGGATGTCCATCGTGCCATCTGCAGTAACAGAGACTCTTGGCCGACCAAATCTCCGCTCACAGGTCCTGTCCCGCCAACTGTGAAAAAGAATCTAGTAGTCGCCATAGTATCTTTGAATAGTACATACTAAACGCTTCAGCCATTTAACAATATTTTCTCTGCCATCCTCAGGGAGTCTGTTGACATTAAACGTGACAGTGTCTTAGCATCTATCAGCTTCGTCAGCGGAGAATCCCGTATAGTGATAGTGATTTACGAGTGCATGAAAATACATGAGCGCTGTTGGTGAGCGGAGATGGGCCCGGCCGCTAAACCAACCTACTTCGACAAGAACATGTAAATGCAGTCGATGGGTTCAGCATCTTCACATGGTCACTGTTATACAGGATGTCTATGTCTTCCTTCTAATAATTCTTACCCAGGCCCCAGAGGCTCTGGGGCCGGGAGGAGAATATTACAATCTGTACAGGAAAAGCAGGATCAAACATCAAATAAAGAGAAGTGAGCACAGATGTCAAACAAAGAAATCATCTAAACAACTGGCCCTTCCACGTCGGGCCGAATCCTCACATGTGCCTTGTGGGTAATGGTTTTCGTCGACAGTCTCTGTACCATGTCCTAGTTTAACGTTTTGAATGATCACCTGCTTCCTTCACATGGTTTGCAGTACAGTAGGATCAGCCTTCAATGCCTAGCAAAATCACGCTGCTGCAATGCATGATGTTGTTAAAATACTGGACAGGCCAGGACTGAAACCTGGACCCCAACACACTAGGTTTGGTGCACTACCACTGTGCTACCAGTCCTACAGTACAAGATGTGGATTCTACTACAAGTAGGTTCCAACACCCCCCCTGAAGCCACACTCTTGTGTACTTAGGGCTCCTGCCTTTGCCAGCTAGTCGTGTGCCCCTGAAGTCATGCAACTGGTCTTGTACCTTTTTGCCTTGTGTCATGTGATGGATCAGGACTTACTACTACGTGTGCCTATATAGGTCTTACTGAGCAGTTGCCTTGTGTCCATGTGAACCACATGATCAGGTCTTACTAAGGATGCCATGTGACCTCGTGTTAGGCTGACTAAGCTTTCAACCAGCTTTACCTCACCCAGGGCTATTAAGCTCAGCTGGGGTGAGTTGTTGCTACCATGTTGAAAATACTGGACAGGCCAGGACTCAAACCTGGGACCCCCAACAACACACTAGGTTTGGTGCACTACCACTGTGCTACCAGTCCTACAGTACAAGATGTGGATTCTACTACAAGTAGGTTCCAACACAATGGACACCGGTTCGTTCGCTTAAGACACTCCTTCATGATTGCAGCACATCCCCGTGGGCCGGGACATTCGTACATGACATCAGAAGTGTTAGAAGTGCAGATCCAAGAGTGGAGATAGGATTCTCGCCAAAGCAAGGTCATTTCCCTCCATACCACATATAAGGTCGATGAAAGTGAAGGCCACATAGAGGATCAACCAGGTAGTGCAAAGGCGTTGGAGTTATGATCACATATGACGGACTTCCAGCATCGCTCATGACCACATGTTTGGTCTGTTGCATAACTCTGATAGAGTTGCATTGGCATGTCTCTGAAACGTCCTTGGACGTCGGGAGCAGTTCCACTGAGTGATTAGCGCAGAAACCTTTGAGTGGTGCCCATATTGGTCTTTGTGTCAACAATGTCATTCGTATCAATCTACACCCCACCAGTTTTCAGCACCTGTGCGAGACATCCAAAGAATGGCCTAATAATCTCCTTTCTGGACTCCACCTGGAGTCCACAGACCAGTCTGCAGACTTTCCCACAGTCCACCCAATTTTCCCACAGACTCCTCAATAGTCTGCAGACTTTCCACAGTCCACCTGATTTTCCCACAGACTTTCCCACAGTCCACCCAATTTTCCCACAGTCTCCTTCCATATATGGACAATAGTCTGCAGACTTTCCCACAGTCCACTAAATTTTCCCACAGACCAGATTTTCCCACAGTCATGCTCAAGTCTGCCCATCCCACTCTCAAAAAAATAAGTGACCAGTCACTTATTTCTGGGGTTAGGCAGAATGACTACCAAGTATGTGGTTGGCACTAGCCAAATGGTAAGTGGGAACCATGAACTGAAAGATGACAAGTGAGAGTGAGATGGCAACTCTGGCTGGGGAGAAAATAAGTGATCGGTTGCTTATTCTGAGGGGTCAAGGAACTGATGAGAGTAGACATAGAGTGTGGAGACTAGATGGAGATAGATGGGTGAGGTAGTGAACTACAGACTGGTATAGTGGGTGGCAGAAAATAGGTGGCCAGTCACTTGTTTCTGGGCTAAGCATTCAAGGTAAGCTGAGCCCCTCAAACATTGTTGATATGTACTAACACCTGTCTCTGTGTCATGTCACCCCACAGCATGCATGTTAAGCCATCCCCCTAGCTACATTAGATACATATCAGTGCTGTTGTGTGTCACATTGTACCCCACTGCTGTGTGTATTGGCCTTCAAGGTAAGGCTGCCCCCCCAATCATGTTTTAAGACATACTAATATCTTTCTGTGTGTCACATTACCCTGTGTTGTGCAACAGAATAGGAAGTAAGCTGTCCCCCTTGACCATCTTTGATACATCCTGACACTGTTGATGTCATCTTCACATTGTCAAGGTGATTAACTGCTGTGTTGAACTAACCATTGATCCATAGATGCCATTTGACATTGTGTAGGCTGCAGCTGTACATGCCTGGATGGTGACCCTTCATCCACCCTGTACCTGGCCAGTACATTGTTGGTATGGGGGGGTAGTTAGTTACCTTAGTCCATGCCTGCTAGTGCAGGCTGGCTTAATAATATATTGATGTTGGTGTCTATGGGTAGTGATTGTCTTGACTTTGTCTGTGCCTGCTGGTGTAGGCCAGCAAATGTTAGTCTGTTGCACTCAGTCCATATTTGCTAGTACAAGCTGGCTTATTATCTCTAGGTAGTGTGTGTCTGGACTTTGTCTGTGCCTACTAGTGTGGGCCAGCAAATATTGGTCTGTTGCACTCAGTCCATGCTTGCTAGTACAAGCTGGCTTATTATATTGATGTTGGTATCTGTGGGTAATGTTTGTCTTGATGTTGTCTGTGCCTGCTAGTGTGGGCCAGCAAATGTTGATCTGTTGGACTATGTCATTTGATACTTGGGAGTAGTATTCATTTTGACTTTTGTCTGTGCCTACTAGTGTGGGCCAGCAAATGTTAATATGTAGACTTGGTCCATGCCTGCTTGGGCTATGTGTTTTCTTGGTCCCAGGTGCTACTGTGTCCATCTTAGTACTCTCAGCCTTTGGTAGTTGGGGTTATTTGGTTGTAATTGAAGTTACTTTTTTCTTGATGACTTGCCTCTGCTCTGGGGGAAGGGCCCCTCCTGGACAGTTGTCAAGGAGTCAATTCCACTTGGAACTTTGTTTTTTGTTTGGTATTTGTAACTTGTATTCAAATATGTCCCAGACTATAACCCTTGTATTTTGTCTTGAGGGGGTTTTAATTGCCTTGTTTTTACCTTCATTTTTGAAATTTGTGGGGCCTAACCCTAACCATAAGCAATATGTCCCATAAGAAATAAGTTAGTGTGATTATAAGTTGCCCAGCTTGAAATTTTATGCCCTCTCCACTACATTATTGTCCCTGAGCCAACAAGTGTGCAATGAATTCTTTCTGATGCCCTGGCTGCCTTGGTGGATGGGATCCTGATGTACTTGGGGGATGCCAACACCCTGCATCTGTTATACTACACAAAAATCTGACCTTAGGAAGCCAAGGTAATTTGAATTGTTTACTCCTTGGTATTGGCTGAATTCAGCTTGATATAACATAATTGACTCAGGGTCATGTCCAAATTGGCTAATGTCAAAAGGGATATGTCCAAGGAAAACCTTCCTTCTGCATCTATCTCCTTCACTGAAAACAGTTGGCAGCCCTTGTCATTGCCCATGCAATCCTGAACCCCTGTCTGTCTATCTCCAACAGTAGAGGTGCAAAGTCTGAAGTCTAAAGGAAGATGTAACTGAATGGGACATTGATAGGTTTGCTGCACCCATGCCACATGCTACAGACAAAACCAAGTACTTTCAACATCCCCAATGGGGGCACATCTCTGACCCTGCCACTGTTTTGG